CCGGGGGTCAGGACTCCAGGGTCTGAGGGAGGAGGGGCTGGGGGTCAGGACTCCAGGGTCTGAGGGAGGAGGGGGCTGGGGCAGGACTCCTGGGTCTGAGGGAGGAGGGGGCTGGGGCCTGAGGAAAGCAGTCAAAGGGGCCTGGACCTTAGCTTCCCCAGGGAGCCCCTGGTTGGGACCTCATGATTGGGATGGGGTTCAGGAGGAGGGAGAAAGAAAGTTGAGATGCCGCCCTAGTTCTGGGAGGGGTGAGTGTGGGTTAGGGGTGCTGTTCAGGTCCTCAGGGGAGGCAGGAGGACCCTCAGCTAACTCCCAACCCCTTCCTTCCCAGGGCAAATTCATCCGCATCAACTTTGACGTGGCCGGGTACATCGTGGGCGCCAACATCGAGACCTGTATCCTCTCGTAGCCCCCGAGGGGCACCTGGCGGCCGGGGAGGGTGGCCCTTGGGATCTCCCTGCTTGCAGGAAACAGGTGTTCACACACACTGGGAAGCCTGGCTCCTCGCTGCTCAGAAACGGTGCCTCAGTTTCCCCCTCTGTGAAAGAGAAAGGAACCTTGGGTAGGCATAGGTGCAGCGCCTCCCTGTGGAGGGAGGAGGGCAGGGACGGTGGGTTGGCCGCGGCTTTACCGCAGAGAGAGGACACAGGGCACAGCCAGCAAAGGGAGAAGGTGCTTGGGGCAAGTGTGGGGGGGGGGACCAGGGCAGAGTCTCCTCCCCGTGGAGTCACACATAATGCACAAGATGCGACAACACATGTGAGGTGTCGATCAAACAGAGGAGCTCCAGGAGTGCAGCATTGAAGAGGAGGGGCAAAGAAATCACAACGACCCGGGTTCACATTCTGGCTCTGCCACTTTGAGCCGTGGGAGCTACGGCATGTTTTTTTGACCGCTCTGTGCCTCAGTTTCCCCCGTGTGCACAGGGAAGGATCATAGAACCTGCCCTCAAAGGGTTGTAGGACAATGGGGGTCAAATTAGTAGCATGGCACCCACCACATGGTAAGCATTCCAGAACGAGCTGCCATCGTTCGGAGTTAATGATGGGAATAAATTAGCAATGTCCTCATGGGAGTTACTGGGAGCTTCCTGGGGCCTTTGGCCTCGGGTCCCCTGGAACTACCGGCACCTGCAGCCCACACTGCTCCTCAGCATCGAGGCTCCTGCTTACGCGGGTTCTTAGAGTGCCCGGCTCTTCCTGCCCCATCCATCCCGCCATCTCGTACCTCCTCTGACCCCGCGGCTCCTGGTGGGGTATGGGGGGAGGAGAAAGGCATTTGTCTTCTCTGCCCACCTCCGGATACAAACTTTCTTTGTCCGCACGCCCCTTCTAGTTCCAGCTGCCCCTCTGGGCAGCTCTCTAGTGCATGGCTGCCTCTGCCTCGGGGCCAATGACCAGCCTGTGGGTTGATGTTCATGGAGGGTGAGGTGGGGGGGTGCCACCCCCAGGCCAATCAGCAATCAGGTGGGTCTCAGGCTCAACCTGACCCCTCAGCCCCAGCATTAGCATGACCAGAATTTTTTTTTTTTTTAAGTTTATTTACTTCTTTTGAGAGAGACAGAGACCGCGCAAGTCGGGGAGGGGCAGAGAGAGAGAGGGAGAGAGAGAGAGTCCCAAGCAGGCTCCACGCCGTCAGCACAGAGCCCAGTGCGGGGCTCGAACCCGTGAAACCATGAGATCATGACCTGAGCCGAAACCCAAGAGTTGGACGCTTAACCGACCGAGCCACCCAGGCGCCCCGAGCATGACCAAAATTTCTGGAGGGTTTCTCCTCTGAGAGCTCACCCTATGAGATCCCAGCGCCTCTCTCTGTACCCATACTAGCCAGATATGGCTATCATCCCATTTAACAGAAAAGGAAACCGAGGCTTGGGGTGCATGCTCCCCCAACCCTACCCTGCCTCGGGGCATCCCTTCCCCGGGTCATCTCCTTCTTACCTGAGCAGGTTAGCGACCCAGGGCTTTTGGTCAATGGTTTGCAGCTGACCTTGGTCAGGGCTCCCCAGGGTAGGTCTTATGTGACTGCCGTCCCTCGAGATAGGTGCTTCGCGGTCCATGAGCGTGAGGCGCAGAGGGGCAAACACATTATCAGGTGTTTGATTTTACTTTAGGGCGGCTTGCCAATTTGTAGTGTGTGAACGTGCCATGTGACTTTCCTGGAAGGGAGGCGCCGATGGCCCCCCGTATCTGTACGGGGAAACTGAGGCTGGCAGGGAAACAATGGACAGAGAGATTCTTGGTTGCAGTTAACTACATGCCGGGCACCGCTCTGGGTGTGTGACGCACGATAACGCACCTGCCCTCGCAGCGGCTCATTCCTGCGTGTTGCGCCCCCCCTGTGGCACAGATGAGGAAACTAAGGCGCGGTGTTTGAGTGACGGGTCTGAGGCCACTCTTGCAGTTAGTGGCAAGGACGCTGGCCTGGGCTGTGAACTGCTCCACGGTTTCACAGGAGAGCAGTGGGGAGCGGCGTGGGTCGAGGGCACTGTGTGGGCTCGCCTCCCCGCCCGTCACCACCCTTTCCCTGTGGCACTTGACTCCTGGCCGCCCAGACCTGCTGGAGAAGTCGAGGGCCATCCGCCAAGCCAAGGACGAGTGCAGCTTCCACATCTTCTACCAGCTGCTGGGAGGCGCGGGAGAGCAGCTCAAGGGTCAGTGCGGGGGCTCACGGGGCGTGGGAGGGAGCCCCGGGTGGGCGTCTGGCTTCCCTGGGCCCCCGGAGGAGGAAACGGGAGGTGCTAGAATTTGCCAGGCACCTGCTTGAGGTCAGGCTGCTGCTGGGCGGTGGATACGGGTCCCCTCTACGCCGCCTCCTGCCTGAGCTCCCCGCTGTCGCCTCTTTGCTCCTCCCACGCTCTGGCTGAAGAAAGTCCGGGGCTCCCATTTACAGTGGTCCCCACTGTCCCGAGGCTCCTTCTCAGGCTGGCTCCTTCGCCCATAGCCTTGGCTGCCTCCCGGCCCCCCTCTGTCAGGCTCCAGGACCCACGTGCCTTCTGCTGCCAGCCCCACTGTCCCACGGCTTCCGCTAACTCAGGCCCCCGCGGCCTCATTGCTCCCGCAGCCCCTGCCTGCCCTGGGCAGTTACGGGACTGGACAGTCTCTCCGGAAGGAGGGAAGACAAGGGTCTGACGTGTGCTAAGCGTGCCCTCCACCGTGAGGGAAGGGTCCTCACTCGTTGGACAGGAGGAGACTGAGGTCCCCGGTGGGGAAGCGACGCTTGCCCCGGGGGTGGCCATTGGGAGGTGAGTCTGACTCCACAGCTCGCCCCTGACCTTAGGCCTCCACTCATGACACCCTGCAGCTGACCTCCTCCTGGAGCCTTGCTCCCACTATCGCTTCCTGACCAACGGGTCGTCGTCCCCTCCCGGCCAGGAGCGGGAACTCTTCCACGAGACTCTGGAGTCGCTGAGGGTCCTGGGATTCACCCCGGAGGAAATCACCTGTGAGTGAGCCCCAAACCCCGGCTGCAGGTGGGGCTGGGGCGCCGCATGGGCAGGCGGGGAACCTGGACAGTCAGTCCCGGGTTGGGAAAAAGAACCAGGGGCGGGGGGGGGGGGGGGGGGCGGAGGCTGGAGGAGGGAGGAGGTGTAGCTTTAAGGAGGGGATCGGGAAGGGGACACAGCGACGGTGGCCTCTGAGCAAAGGCCCGAGGAGCTGAGAGAGTGAGGACCGGTGTTCCCAGGGTGTTAACCCCAAAAATAAAGCTGTTGGCTCAGTTGCTAACAAAATGGATTGATTTGGGAACAGCAGAGAACCGTAACTGGGGACAAGCAAGCTACGGCAAAACCACAGACCCGCCTGAGTTGCTGGGGCGGCCAATTTCTTTTTCTTTTCTTTTCTTTTCTTTCTTTTTTTTTTTTTTTTTAATGTTTATTTATTTGTTTTGGGAGAGAGAGAGAGAGAGCGAATGAGCAGGGAAGGGGCAGAGAGAATCCCAAGCAGGCTCTGCGCTCTCAAGCGCAGAGCCCGATGCGGGGCTCGATCTCATGAGCCGTGAGATCATGACCGAAGGTGAAATCCAGAGTCAGACGCTCGACCGCTCGACCAACTGAGCCACCCAGGCACCCCGAGGTACCGTATTTGTTTGCTAGGGCTGTTGTGACAAAGCACAACCCGAGCGCCTTAAACAGCGGAAGCCGCTGGTCTCCTGGTTCTTTCTGGAGGCCAGCAGTCCGAGATTGAGATGATGGCAGGGCCGCCTGGCCCTGGGAGGATCTGTTTGTTCACTGCCTCCCTCCCAGATTCCGGTGGTTTCCTGGCAGTCTTCGGTGTTCCTTGGCACATAGGAGCATCACCCGATCTCTGCCTTCATCATCACGTGGCTTCTGCCCGTGTGCACATCTGTGTGTTCAGATTCCCCCGTTTATAAAGACACCTGTCGTGTTGGATCAGGGGCCACCCTACCCCACTGCGATCTCATCTGGACTTTAATTATGTCCGCTTGAGTCAGTACCCGTATAAGGTCACATTCTGAGAGGTCCTGGGGGTTAGGATGTCAGCATATCTGTTTGTAGGGGAACAGGCACGATTCAGCCCATGAGTGCATATAGGTGGACCTCAGTCCTTCTGCGACTGCCTGACTTTTCATTGTTGGTGTGAACTTAGAGGTCTAGGGTTGAGTGGAGGGGCCGCGTCCTTTTCTCCTCTGGCCTCCAGCACTGCGGGAGGCCCAGGGAGCTATGGTTGGCTCCAGGGCCAGCTGGGAGGGCTGGAAACCCAGCGCCAGCTTGCCTGTCTACCCAGGCTGCAAACTGGCCGGCCTCCTGGGGCGTATTGACACAGGGTCTCAGGCCTTCCCTGCTGGATTTCCCAACCTTGGTTGTGTAACTTCCTCCGCCTGCCTGAGAGTCGGCCCGGGCAGCTGGCAAACAAACTCAGATGGAAGCCACAGGGGGGCCTGGCCTCTGACACAGGTTGCCTCAAGTAACCTTGGGAGCAGCCGCCCTGCTGTGCCCTGGGTGTGGGCAATTCTTTTCCTTTATTTTTTATTTATATTTATTATTTTTTAACTTTTAAAAAATGTACTTATTTATTTGGAGAGAGAGAGAGAGAGA